CCGGGGGAAAAAAAAAAAAAAAAAAAGAGTCCAGCCAGCCCACGTGGACCTTGAGTAACAGCTTCGTGCCCTGGAAGAAACTTCAAATTTTTGTCTTCACATTCTTCTAGTTCCAATGACTTGGGCGCAGAATAGGCTCCCTCAAAGGATCTGCCTGAGGTTAACCACGCTGCGGTCCAGCAAGTGGCCCTTAGGTGTGAACGCGAGGATCGGCGCATATTGCTTGCGCCGTCGCCCCATCCAGCATAGCAGACGAGCTGTGATACCTTAAGAGGTGGGGACTGGGGAGCATTCAAAGTCACTTCTGGCTGTGGTTAGTCCCCTGCTCACAGCTCCATTTGGTTTGGTAAAGTTGAAATCCAAAGTCCAGCAGAGCAGCTGAAATCCCTTGGCGCAGCATTGTAGAAATCGCGGGTGGTGGTCTCAGTACACAAGACAACCGCCGTGCAGTAGGAAGTTGCCAGCTAGCAATTTCCATTTTGTAGAGAGGATGGTTTCATAGCGGACTTCTTTCCTTTTAGGTTCATTGGTGTTTCTCTGTGGCAACAGGTTCTGGTTACTTCATCTTGGCGAATAATGCAAGAGGAACTGTAGGTTGTGTCTTGTGCTCTGTGCATTGCGAACTACTCTTCTTGCCAAAAACTAAATGAGCGAGTAACCCCAGCTTTCATCATAGCGGATTTGTCTCAAAGACTGAAGGTCGGAGCTATCTCTTGTGCCCCTTCCAGTCTGATGACTGATCCGTCTCTGGTTTTTGGAAACTGATCCTTCAGAACAGTCCTTTTATAAGTGGTTTTTTGTTTTGTTTTTTTTAATGAAGAAACTGCAGTTTGTAGTGGTGTCTCCCCTGAGTATTTTCAGCAAATTTCATTAGGCACCTTCATAAAAAGCTTCCGTAATTCTCAGTTTTGCTACAAGAACTGGTCCACTTCGGGAACCAGAGTGCTGCTTAAAAAAATAAAAAGGAAGTAAAACAACTCATCATTGTAATAAATTGAAAGCATTTAGATTTTAGTTTGTTCTTTTTTTTTTTTTTTTTTTTTTTTTTTTTTTT